TAAGATTTCTTTGAATTTTTTATGCTGTGGGCTTACAAGAGACATAAGATGTTTTTCTCTTATACTTGTCTGGCAGTGCATGGCAGCAGAAGTAACGAAATGGTCACAAACTCAAGCAGTACTTCCCAGGTCACATGCACCTTTAATTTTTAAAGAATCTCGAAACAGTCTAAGCAGTTGATAACAGGTCATTTCTAGGTGATAAAGGGTATTTGATACGGGGTGTTGCTTTTCTTTCCACACCTAGTGTTTATGTAGTCATTTAGAGACTTACTTTATATGGTGGTGAGTTTATATGATTTCAGATATGGAACTTAACTGGTAACTGAATTTTAACTTTTTTTTTTTATGTTTGACATTGATTTTGAGGTCATAGATTTTTTTCAAGCTTTTAAAAAAATATTCTAGTTTATTATATATATAAGCATTTCCCATAGACATTGACTTCAGTATAAGTACAACTGGAAGTGCCAAAGGTAGCAGCTACTGTTTAAAAAAAAGAGAGAGAAGGAGAGAGAAATTACGAATTGTAACTATTGCCAGAAGTGCTTATGCCTTTTTCTTTCAAACACCTTTGTATTAAACTAATTTTTAGAATTTTACTTAAAAAAAAAAATAGCTTCCTTTAAATGTAAAAATTGGGAATTATAGATTGGTGCTTTAGAAATTTAGTTTAGTCTTTCAGTGACCTAGCAGTTGGTATGAAAACACGAATTTAAAAATAAATAGCATATTGGATAAACTGTACTATACTCGTGAAAGAAGCCAAAAAATATGGATTAAACTGAATTCAAAAATAATTGCAATTTGAACCCTAAGCCAGATTCTTTATTAAAATAAAGCAGTAGGTCCTTGACCCTCGGGTGTGCTTGGAATAAACATGGAACACAGTATTGTTCTTAAAACTATTTTGCTTTTATAATCTAAGACAGATGTACAAAAAAGATGCAGTTTTTATTTTGTATTGGCAGCTTCCAAATATTTAGTATCTATTTCCAAGAGTTGCAATTAGTAAAGCAACCATGGTACTGAAATCTGCACATCCCACAAGCTAATTATATTTGCAAGGTCAGAGTGAATACATATTTTCAGAAAAATAAAGGGTTATATAAATATGTGTCTTCTACTTGGCTGTTATATCACAGTTTGTTGATCTGGAATATAATGTGTACAATTCACAAATTTGTCTGATAACAGAAAGTGGTGTGTGATTGTGTTTATTTTACTAACCAGTATATTCACAGCAATCACTTCCAAATATCTCTCCAGTAAAGATGTGTTAATTACAAAACAGACAAGGTCTTCTATTATATTAAAGCTACTAACAACATCATCAACCCCTATTTTAGTCCTCTGTTTTGATCTGTGAGTTGCGCATAGACCAAAGGTGCTATTAAAGACTGAGTGTATGAAATAGGCAGCATTATATGAACAAAATTTATTCAACAAGAAAACAGACCTTTAACATGAATTTAACAAGCCTGAGAAATTATAAACTATCATATGCTGCAGATTCATGCAGTGATAATAAACAAAAAAAGAAAGTAAGAGGTTTCCCTAAGCTAGCCAAACTGCTAATGGTTTTGTTATAAGCTGTCTACTGTTGCAGTGACCTCTGAAAAGTCTCAAGGCACTTGTACCAGAAAAAATTAAATGGTCAGGCTGGTGAGTAGAGATTCAGTGTGGTGTGTAGGACTTCAACATGGAAAGAAATTACAAAAGTCTAGCATCCTATTTATTCCTCATACTTTAGCTTGCAAGTTTTCGTTATTATATATTAAGGAGGTAGTTTTTACGTCAAGTTTTTTGGCTAAATTACTATTTGGATTTGTAAGACATAAACTGAACTGGTTTAATGTATATATACTTTAAAACAAACTGTTTAGAAATTTATGTAGCTCCAAAAAATGGATTATTTCCCCTGACCTCCGCCTAATACCTTAATTAATCCTTGGGGATCCTTTGGTCAGTATATTGTATCTAAGATTTCCATTCTTAACCGTGGAGTGACCATCACTTTGCTGTCCTTCTGTTGCATCATGTTGTAAATGCGTAAACATGGAGAAACTCCTTCAGCTTGTACACACCTCCAAGTGCTCACTAGGGCTTTTCCTTGAATCTTACTGTGGCATAATTAACACCTTCTTTATCCATTGCTCATTAGTGCACTGGACATTAATGAGTCTATTTTGATAGGCTGCTGTAAAGGAGAACTCTGCTTATTCTCATGGCACAAAAAGCAATTACAAAATTGTACAGAAATTAAAATGTAGACTGTATTGCCATATTTATATTTTTATTGCGTACTAAATCTAATTTTGGTCTGCAGGTTGTTGAAAATGTTAGTTTCCTTAAGACAGTTGCTATAGTGATGGCAGCAAATTCCTTTAAACTTGGTGTAAAGTATTCATTTTCTATTGGCTATTATATCGCTCCTCAGGAATTGTCAGTCTAAGCATGTTATTTAACATAGGCCATCGGTAGTTGAACAGTATATTAAGTTCTTGAAGTTTTCTCTTAATTTTTTAATAGAGTTTAAAATTTTTATTTTAGATTTGTTTTTAAATGACCATGATATCTGCATAGCTGGTATTTTCATTTCTTTTTTATGAAGTTTCACACCTGCGTATAATATTCCCCAGAAATATTACAGAGATTTTTGCATGTAAAGTAGCTGTCCGTTTTAGTTTGAAAGTGTTTATTATTAAAAAAAAAAAAGTATATAGGCATTTTGTTTGTTATATAATAGAATTTTTATAATTTTGTAGAAATCTTAAAATGGAATCAAAATATTCTAAAAATAATTGGACCAAAACGATGCTTTGTTCTTAAATATTTACCACTAATAGTAAGGGTGGAAGTTCTTAATTCTATATTTAAATTGTACATCTATCAATCAAGATGGTCACTTTTCTTTTGCCTACATTTTAATTTTATTTTATGTGTTTTTTTTAGTAGAAAATGTTAGAAAAATTTACTTCCATATTTTTTTTAAACAACTTTTAAAAATGTTCATTGTAATATCTGATTAAAGCATGTCTGATATTAGTACCTATTTTTATTATTGCTTTATGGAAAAGCATGATTAGAAAATTTTTTAAAGTATAAGGACGAGATACAAACCTAGGCCATATTTATTTATATATAAATGTGAAAGTTAAGTCTGGATTGCAGTTATTGTATGAAAAGAAAAAAGTTTTCACAAACTATTAAATCATGCATGTTCTGAGGATACTTGGTTTTATTTTGAGGCAAGAGGAATCTGGGGAAATTCAAACTGTTAAAAATAAAAGCAGAATTCAAAGTTGATTTTTTTCCTTTCTTTTTGGTCTACCAGAGTGGACAGAGACCTTAGATTGAATCACTTGTCGTAATACTTTGATCTAAGTTTGTATTTGGTGCTCTTCATGACAGCCTTTTAGAAAGGGTTCTTTCTTTTCTTTCTTTCTTTCTTTCTTTCTTTCTTTCTCTCTCTCTCTCTCTCTCTCTCTCTCTCTCTCTCTCTCTCTCTCTCTCTCTCTCTCTCTCTCTCTCTCTCTCTCTCTCTCTCTCTCTCTCTCTCTCTCTCTCTCTCTCTCTCTCTCTCTCTCTCTCTCTCTCTCTCTCTCTCTCTCTCTCTCTCTCTCTCTCTCTCTCTCTCTCTCTCTCTCTCTCTCTCTCTCTCTCTCTCTCTCTCTCTCTCTCTCTCTCTCTCTCTTTCTCTCTCTCTCTTTCTTTTTCTCTCTCTTTCTCTCTTTCTCTCTCTCTCTCTCTTTCTCCCTCTCTCCCTCCCTCCCTCCCTTCCTTGCTTCCTTTCAACTTTATTTGGCATACAGCATGTAGTAATACTTATTACAGGTTTTTCAGACTTGATTAAATTTCAGTTGGCTTAATGAAAATAAATTTAATTTTAATCTCTTGATATCCTCAATAAGTATACAAATGAGAACCAGTATACTTAGCAATAGCTTTTAAAATGTTGATAAATCTCAGGTGTTTAACACTGTTAAAGGCAAATTTAGAAATACTATATTATGCTGCTTTAAGATTTTTTTATGTGACAAATGTGTTGAGTTTATTCTCCAGGTAATTGATTTTAATTCCCTGAAAGAGGCATCTGTCTTAAAGTCCCAGTGCTTTACTTAAAACTTCACAACATTTAAAAGCTTTAACGAGTTTTTTAAAATCCATGATAATAAACAGAAAAAAGCAATACGGTAGTATGTAATTCTTCTTAAATTTCTTAATATGTAAGAACTAACAGAGGATATTCTGTCATGTAAGAATTTGAAGTCTTTCTATACAGAAACATTGAATATACTTAGCATAAAGAGGATACCTATTGTTATTTCTTTACTATGAATTTAGGGCCATATAATTCTATACCATGTTCCTGCCTTAAAGCACAGATGACCTTGATTTTCTTGTATTGTGCTTCCTATTCTTGACAGTGGCTTGGATATTTAAGGCCATCAGACAAGGTATAAAGTCTTTTAGAGTCACAAGAAGTAAAAGGTATCTGACTAGAAGAGAATACGTGGAGCAAGTGCCTTGCTGGTTGTAATTTTGTTGTCATTTCAAGTATTGTGGTGGTGTAATTGATGTGACAGGACTGGGCTTTAGATGTGGTCCCTTAGCTTGTGCTCACTTTCAGTTTTAGTTTCTCTTTGTCATTCATTTTGATTAGGTAAAATTTAGGTGACAAACATATGCACACCAATTGAAGGCTGTTTGGTGTGAGTTTAGTAATGACGTATTTCAATAATAAAGATGCAGAGTTAATATTTTTCTTTACTGCTTCATGAAAATTGCAATAATTGGTGTCACCTTACATTACAAGATTGAGGGTGGTGTGCCAATGGCACAGTCAGCAGGAGGTTCTTTTTTATTAATATTATAATTAAATGATTTTCTGGAAATAGGCCAGAAACAGATGCAAATTGATCATGCTTTGTCCACTGTTGCTTGGCATCATCACTTGCTTTTTAAAAAAGAATTGACCTGACACCTTGTTTTTACAGGTTGTTATTGATGCCTTCAGATTGATCAATGCTAATATGATGGTCCTAGGACATGAACCAAGACAAACAACTTCTAATCTGGGTCACTTAAACAAGCCATCTATCCAGGTAATGCCTGTATTTGATAATGTGTTTAAAACTGTTTTACCTTTTAAAAGTTGTTATAAATGGCCATTCTAAGATATAATACTTAGTATTTCCATTTGTTTACAATTAATTTTTCTTGTGCTTTAAAAGAAGATTATGGAAATGTGATGTAAATGTTAGATTTGCTCAGATATGAGTCAGTTTTCAGTGGAAACTTTAAACTTTCCTAACAGTTCGAGGACACCCTTTTTGAAAGCATACTAGAACCTTTATCTTGAGATAATAACCTTATGGCTGTGCGTGGGTAACATTGTAGTAAAGGACCAATACCAGTTGCAGGTAGAATGCATTAGGTATCATTCTTGATTGGTTAGTAGACATTTCTCATAGCAGCAAATCATGGGAACATTGGTGTAAACTTTAGGAGGTCCCAGAAACAATTCGTAAATGGTACTTAAAATTCTCTACTTTTTTTAGTTTAATCCCCACTTTACAAATGAATCCTATAAAACACATCTATATATTATCTTTGATCAGAGTTCATATCTTGTTCAAGTGATGTCTACCACCACTGTTACATTTATTGAGACACTTAATATCCTCCTGAGTGATTGTTTTCTTTCTATCATTCAATTCACATACCTCATTGTTTTTACACAAACCGTTATGGTCTTTAAAAATTATTTTAAATGTGTTTTTAAATGCACCACAACCCATGTTTATAAAGTTAATTGCTTCTCTGAAGATTAATTAAAAGGACAGAAATACCATGTTTGGTTACATAGAACACATAGGACAAAGGCTTTATAGTAGCTATTCCTGCTCCCCTTCTGAATCAACCTTGCTCTGTCTTTGGGGAGTTGTGGCTTTGACAGTTAACCATGGTTAAGCCTTGGTTACACTTTGATAACTTTATACTTTTAGAGGTTTACTTTTGTTGCACTTACTCATCTGAAATCATCAGAATGAAATGTTTTGTTTCAAAGGATTTGAGGTGTGTTGCTTTTGAAAAAAAAAAATTGTAAGTTAGGGAAAACTGCAAAGTATAATGAGTATGAAATAAGCTACCAGTGTTTTTGATTGGGTACAGACAAGCCCATGCTTGCATGTTCCAAGAGAATATATTATTGGACCTGTTTAGCTTGTGATAATGACCTTTCTTATAAACCCCCATAGCATCATACTACTTCATTATTTTTTTGCAAAAGGTTAAGTAGCATCTCACAATCCAAGATCATTGTGATTACTGCATGGTATGTTTCTGCCAGAAGTTTTTACTAATTGCAAGTCAGCAGCCACCTGTTGCAGATTTCATTTTTTAAATATAAACACTGCTTTTTTAACCTTAAAAATTGAGTATAATCAATATTCAAAATCTAATTCTGCAACAGTCCACTTTGTGTTTTTTGGTCCTACCTTATAGTGTATAATTTAAGATGGACCTTATAAAGCAGATTCCAAACCCAAGTTAAAAGGACCTGTGTAAATGTTATATAACAGCCACAGCATCATTGTTTTTCCTTATTTTAGTTTGTTTTGCCTTCCAATTAAAATTTGTAAATATATTTATTTCACAGTTTATATAGCGCCCATCTGAATGACATCTATCTGGGTGCTTTACAGTATTAAGACAGTTTCAATACTAAAACACTAAAATGGGATCAAGCCAAAAAGTGACAGAACAAAGCTACACCTTAAAACAATTTTAGTTTTCTAAGACAAGCTACAAAGAAAACAAGCCAGAAGAACCTGAAGTGAATGGTAATGTCCATAATAGAATTTTAATATATATTAGCAGAATTTTTAACTCGGGGATCAGAAGCCATTCAGAAAGGCTGTGTCTTTTATTTCAAAGGAAAACTAGTTTGTTTTGAGATGAGTCTTGCTTGTAAACCAACTTGCAAGTAGTGGGGATAGAAATTTGATAGCAACCATCAGCACTCATACTGGTAGTCACTATGCTTTTCTAATGATGAGTTTTTCTTTTTACTATTATTCTTAAAGTAGTGATAAAGTATTACTATTTTAATAATTTGAGGAAAATTCCAAATACGTTAAGTAAGAAAGAGATTACAAAGTAAGGTAAACAAGTACTACTTTTTACAAATATATATTTTGTAAATCGTGCCTATATATTTATGCCAGGATGTTAAGATTGATTGCCTTTGGGTAGTAGGATTATGGAATTTTTTTCCTTGTTTTTCCTTCTCCAAATATTTTTAAACTTTCTACAGTGAAACATATATTGCTTTTAAAAAAATGATAATTTATAAGCACTAATAAATGTTGAAGTATCTACCAAAAGACAAAGCTCATAGACAAAATTTATATTAACTCATTTTAAATGAGAAAAGCCATTAATAATCTTGGTAGAGAGGAGAAAGTATAATACCTACCCTACAGATTTTTATATTGATATATGAGACTTTGTATTATTTTGGAACATTTGACTGTTATTGGCACTGTACGGAATTGAGAGTTTACAGGTCTTTATTTTAGTAACGAAACATTTTAAACTATTTTACTAAAAAATTCACTGATGTTTCAGATCCTTAAGAGTCATAGTCTATGTGAAGATTGGTTGTCAACTGCATGGAAATTTAGTAAATATTGATGCATAGATGCGTTGTACTAGGGCTATGACTTCTAAGTATAGTCCTGGGTACAGTTGTATTATCTAACATAATTAAGCTACTTGGAAAATATTGTTTTCAGCAGTTAATAAACAGATTAAGCAGTTATACTTTTTAAAGAAACCTTTGTGGTCATTTTTTAGGTGAGGAAACTGAGACCCAGAGAGTTTGTAATTTGCCCAGGTTATCCAGTGAGTTAATGTAGGAACTGATATTCATAACCAGGGTTCCTCACTCTTTTATACTATACTTGGAAAATAAACTAATTTGGCATAGATAATATATGTATGCAGTTCAAAATTCAAAAGACACAAAAAGGTATTTAGCAAAAACTCTTTTTTTCTACTTGTGCCTTCTGCAACCCAGTTCTCTAGAGAGAACAAAACACATTTTGCTTCAGATCTAAGTAAACATGCCTTTTTTAAGAGCATGAAACTTTTTTAACCTATCAAGAACCTGTAAATAGGTTATATAGTTTAAGCTGTGTTTTCTAATATGTTTGCTTTCCACAGCAGTGAGTGTATAGAGATATAACTTCTAACCTCAATAGTATGGGAAATGTCAATGAAGTATGATTGGGGTAGGTTTTAGTTGCTTTTACTTATCTGACATGGTCATTATGTAGGAAGCCATTAAAGTACAGGATCTTATTTTAGAAACTATTTGTCAACAGTCCCTCTACATGAATATGATTCAACACAATTCCATCCAACCTGGTAGCCGACTGCCTCTCATAAACTGTGCCTATATTTTTATTCCGAAGTTTCTACCACCTTTGCTCATATATCACTGCAGTTCTAAGTTTATTGCTTCCTTCTCACTATTATTTATGTGTCAGTAGTTTAGTCAAAATTCAACATTTATTTGGATCAGATACCTATTCTCCCACAGTCATTTCTAAAACCTAAGTTTAATAATTCACATGAATAAGTAAATATAGAAATATAAATAATTCAGATGGTAATTGATTTTGAAGTTTATTTCACTGAGATGATTATTTGTGTACTTGTTTTGATTTTGTCTTACCAACAAAATTATAAAGCTTTACTCTAAAGATTAATTAAAGAAGCATAGAAGTAACCTGGAAGTTAATCAGTGGGATCTTAAAACTCCCCTCTGTCTAGTTCCTTCTTCAAGCCATTCTTCATCTTAAACTGATACTAAGTACTAACCTAGGCAGAACTTTTCTTTGAAAGGGCGGCAGGCAAAGAAAACAAGTAAATCCAAAATATCTTGTCCAGAAACAGTGCTATAAAAGTTGGCTACCTTCCCAGGTCAGCCACCGAAAACTTATTTAGCTCACAATATATACTATAAAATCAAGCTTTATAACACTGCTCCTGTGAGAAACTGTTGCCGATTTCAAATGGCCAATTAATAAATGAGCTTTTGGAACATACCCTGTTTTAATGAAGAATTGCCTAAATTTTCCTAAGTCTATCATATGTTTAAGTTTAAATTTAAAAGTTAAGTATTGATGTCTTAAGAAATTTCCTTTGCTATATAACTTTCTCCATTATCTTCCTGACATACCATGGCATTTGCTAGTACATGGTGTTTAATTTACAATTTGACCTTTTCCAAAGGTTAGTCTCCCCCTTGATAAAACTAATCTTATATTTGGCATATGCCGCCACAACTTGTAGTTCAGTGTCAACTAGACTGGTTAATTTGAGAGAATGTTTTATTTATTGAGCTAAAAGAGGCTGTGCTTTTGGGCTCATGTGGAAGGAGAACTGCACATGGCCAATTTACTTAAGATTTTCGATAAATGCACTGGGGGTACACAGCAGGTAAGTGAAATTGGAAGACTGCTTGAGGATATAATTTGATTTAAACTTATATTTGTTTTGTTATTATACCTGCTAATATTTCACACTGCCTGTGTTATTTTTACTACTTTAATCTAAACAATGTGATCAAAAATCAAGTAGGTAGTGCCTTCAATAACCAAACTTTGTATTTCTGTAGTACAGTTAATTTCCAAAACGTGGACCTGTCTTTGGGCCTGTTGTCTGGGTTCTGTATTTATTGGCCATCACTGCTATTAACTATATGGCCATTCTATATAATTTTGTAGTTAGGATGTAACACAAAGGCACTTGGATGAGGGGCAATAGGCACCTGAAATGTAGTCTAAGCTCCACTCCCCAGCCAGGCTGTGTCTGCTTGGAGAACTGGGCACCTTTTTCTAATTCTTCTACCCAAAGGTTGTACTTCCTAATTTGCACAAAGCTGAGTACAGATTAAGGGAGGCCCTGATTAGTTTCACTTTTTTATCTATACAGTGCGGCATTTCTACGCACTGAAATTTAATTCACTGCTCCTGATGATTATTGAAATGGCTAAGGGTTTAGTAGATACTCTTAGTACTTTAATATTGTATATCAACTGTTATAACAGATGTTAGGAATATAGGAATGGATTATTACAGTATGTATCTAAGATGTTTTAGTACTTGCTGGAGTGATATTTGCTACCAAAGTTTAAAAATAAGACTATTGGTTTTCATCCTGATCCTTAAAGTACAGACTTAATCCAAGAATTTCTTAGGATACATTATAACATAGTATGGTAGAAAAAACCATGAGCTTTGGAGTCAGAAAGATTTCAATTGCAATCCTAGCTTTGCCTTTTACCAGCTATAAACTGGGACAAATTAAGATTAATGTCTTATTTTCCTCATCTGTCAAAATACAAATGGAACCAGCCTACCTTACTGTGTTGTTGTGAAGATTAGAAGATAGTGTATAAAGCAGATGCTCATTAAATGATTCCTTTCCACCTCTTCTTCTCCTGCCTCAACACCTTAACACTTACACTATAAAAATCCAATAATTAAAGAAAGTGGCAGTTGTTTTGGTTAGCTTTATCTTTAGTTTCTTGAGAGTTAACCCCAAAGTTTTCTTTGTTTTTATACTTGTTGAAAATATGTCCAAGATGTATTTCTGTACTTTTATGTCTTACTAGGCTGATAGAGGGTTCCCCAGAATACCACTTGGAACTTTGCTGGAACTTCTTCTGCTAGAGCTAAATGTTAGAGCAGTTGTGAATGGATTCTAACACATACAGGGTTGTTGTTTCCTAATAAAGCCATGCCATTAGCTTAAATTTGTATTATGATTTGCTTGCTTGTCTTGGAGATCAAGTGCAGTGGTAAAAAATCTGGTTAGTGTGTTCGTCACTGGATTAGAGCATGAGCTAAAGAGATCTAGTAAAGAACAAGCTCCACTTTGTTAATTTGGAGACATGCAGACACAATTATTTGAATCTGTTAAAACTGAATTAATAAAAAGAGAAATCCCAGATTAATGTTGTGAGTGAAGGAATAAGTGTCTTATGACTTTTTATGCTTTTCTTTTTAAATAAGTTTTCTACATATCAAAATCAGATTTAATACATTATGATTTTATAATTACGAATAATTAATTTATAATTTGGATTATGATGAGGTCAAACCCTATCGTTAACTGAGCTACTGAAACTGTCGAATATCATACTCTGAAGAGTGTATGACCCATACCGCTAAATCTTACTTCGAAACATATAGCCAAGAAAAAAATATTTTAATTTAATCTTTATTTAGGATAAAAAGCCTTTTTTTTTAGATGACAAAGGTATTGTCTATACAATGTCAATAATTTTTGTATTTAGTAGATGGAAATATTAATTTGTCCTTTTTCAAATCATTTGTCTATATAGGCATTAATTCATGGACTAAACAGACATTATTACTCCATTACTATTAACTATCGGAAAAATGAACTGGAACAGAAGGTAAGTTTAAATTTTTATCTTAGAAGAGGAAAAAAATCTCTTTCAGATCAATCAAATTCAGATATTAGCTGGTATGTTTGAATTTGAATTATTGACCTATTTCATCGATATGTTCCAAATATTTTTTTATTCCTGATGAATTGCAGCATAAAATAAAGGAATATTTTATTAGATATATTGAAAGACATTTTACCTTATTGGTAGGTGCTAAAGCAGGAAAGAAAGTAGGAAATATTCCAGTTTGGCTTTATAATAAATTATAAAAATCTTTTTTCTAGTTCTGTGATTTTTCTGATTGACTTACCTTCTCCAGTAAAATGACCTTTAATGACTAAATTACTAAGTTAATCGCTTTCCATATTTGGAAGGAATAAATTAGATTGTAATATTGTAATAGTTTAAAAAAAATTACCATGTTTACGTATGGTAAACTAAAGGTGAGTCAAAAGGGAAATACAGTTTTCAGATATTTTGACCTAGATTCGTTTCTCTGTTAGTATCAGGCAATTTTCAAATTTAATTACTTTTAAAATCACTGAGCATCTTGGTGGATTAGCATTCTTTTATTTCTACTATTTTAGGATTATTTCAAGTACTTTTTTTCTCTCAGGTAATGCCAAACGTTTAAGTCTGCCTTTTGATTTTTGAAATTACAATCAGAACTGCTTTTTTTTCTTTAGTATTAAAATTACTCAACCTTCAAATTGGCTTCTTATATAAACTCATAGATACAGAGAATATTTAGAAGTAAACTAGATGGGAAGGGGTTTGGTAGGGGACAAAAAAAGGCAAAGAGATTAAGAGATATAAATGGATAGTTGCAGAATAGACATGGAGATGTAGAGTGTAGCATGAGGAAGGTAGTTAATAATGTAATAAATAGTAAGGGGGAAGAGGGGTACTAGATTTAGTGGGGTGATAACTGCGAATTATGTGGATCTCTGATCACTATGCTATGCAACTGAAACTGGTATTGTATGCCAACTATAATTGAAAAAAACTCATTGAAGTGTACAATGTAAATACAAGCAACTAATTGTCTGTTATATTTCAATAAAGATGGGGGTGAAAACTAACTAAAAAAAAATTAGTTTCTTATTTTTCTCTCTGAGAAAGACAAGAAAATCTTAAGAACACTGAGTCCTATTGATAGCCAGTAAGTTTGGGTTCCTACGTGCACTCTCAAGTCCAAACATAAATAATCAGTAGTAAAGATCTTTCTTACCACTTGAAACTGTTCCTCACAAAGGTACCTTAGTAGGGGATTCTAGTGCATATGGTAAGTGGGAGGGGGAGTAAGTTACCCCCTCTTTTAACCAGATCTCCTCAGTTTTTAATCTCATTTATATATTATGGGGAGGATGCACTGCATAAGATTTTCTTTGAAAAAAGAATTCTGTTTTTTTAAATTGTTATTTTACGTTTGATAAACTACTGTTTTAAAAGGTCAAAGTCACTAATAAACTCACCTAAGATCATAGGTGTTTGGCAATGAGTGAGAGGCTCCAAGGGACCAGTTCTTCCTTAGCCTGAAGGGAGACACAGAGCCATGCAGCTCTATTCCAGTTGCTTGATTATGTCCCAAAATTTATATCTGCTGTGGTAGATTTAGTTGATAGCTTGAAGTATATTTTGATCACTTATTTTTAATTTTACATAGGGTAGATACAGGCTGTGAAAAGGGGCTCTACTCAGATACAAACTGAAAAATCCATTTAGGTATATAAATATTTTATCAGTCTGATATCTTACATCCAACTATTTGGAAATATCCAGCTAATTACATAATTTTTTCCCCTTTTTTACCCCATAAACTTAGCCACCATCCTTGGCATAAAAAACCAACATACAACTATGTACATAGATTAATTAATGTTATGTTTATGTTCTTGGCTTCTCAGTTCCGCTGCTTTCTTATTACCAGAAGCCTTGCCTTTACTCTTATCCCACTAACCTGTATACTTAACCCCAAGCTTTACCTGAGGGTCTCAATGGAATCCTTGTCCAGGCATGGTAGGGATGTCCTGCTGCTCTGTGGGAAGTTTTTTTGTTTTCTTTTGAAGTAGTAGTAAAATCTAATTCTCAACCTTTAATTATAGATAGCTTTATAGCACATGTAGTTGCAGCTGTACCAAAATTTCCCGAGGATATATTTTCTAAATACTATCTGTGGCCAAGATGAGAAGCAGTCAGAAAAATTGGAGCTTCTTGTGTTGGAGTTTTCTAATTTTTATGCAAGCTGCTTTTGGGCTGTAGGAGGGGGCATTAGGGAATTTGGAGCTTTAGTGTCTTGAAAAGCCTCATGGGTGATTTTTGACATGTAGTTTATTCTCCAGCATGAGAAAAACTTTGTACTGTGTGTGGTTACAAACGTCTAAACAAGTAATGTTTCTAAGCTAAACTCAAACAGTTCCAACGATTTCTTCACATCTTCATGGCTCAGGGATCTCACTTAAAGTATACTGGTTCTAATGGCAAAACAACAATAATTGTTCTGTAGGCACCATTTTTTTACATTGCATAATCATTAAAAAAACTCTTACTCAATGGCAGTCTGCAACTGAAGAACAGTTTTAGAATAAGATTTTAAGAAAAACTATCATTAAGATGCTAAACTTGAAAATTTACGAACTTCCAAGATTATATACATGGAACTAGGAGACAATTTGCAAAACAATGAACTAAGTAAGATAGTAGTTCTTTGATCACTAGTAGGGTCTGATCCCAGTTTGCTGTTGTGATTGCAAACTGAGTGAATTTGTGATTTCCTTCCCAGTTTCATAACTCTTCATTCTGACAGTAAAGAAGTTTTAATTTTTTAAATTATGGATGGAATATTAGAATTTGAAAGAAATTGAGATTATCTGCTACAAGCCTTCAATTCATAAGATATTTAAACTGAAACTCAGAAAGCTTTTAGTAAATGGCTTTTTATCTTCTTGGCATTTAAAAGCTGAGCTTCTATGTGAACCATTAGCAATCTTGTGTATAGTATAGTAGTTTCATTTATTCAACAGATATTTATTGAGTGTCTGCTATGATTAGATACTGTTCTAGAATCTAGACCCTGATGATCTTGAAAGAAACAGGGTAAAGTCCTAGCCCTGTTAATTTCTCTTTAATGAGAGAGAAATGTAGTAAACAAGAAAAAATTTTCAGGTGTTGATGGTGTTATAAAAATAATAAAGCAGAGTAAGGGAACGAAGATGTTTAAGATAGTTTGGGGTGACTTTTTTATATAGTATAGTGAGTGAAGGCATCTATCTATCTCTAAGGAAGTGAGGGAAGGTAAGCCATGCAAAGATAAGGAAAATAGCCTTCAAGTCAGAAGGACAGCAAATGCAAAGGCCCTGCAGTCAGAACACTCCTTAGATTATATTAATATAAACTTAAGAGAATTCTTATTAGAGTTTATTGAAGTTAATAAATTTAAATTCATTCCAAAAGTTTTTCGTGAAGTTGTTTCTCAAGACAAGTGAAATATTCTCAATACAAGAAAATAATTACTCTTTCTTTATACTTTTTAGATGTTGCTAAATTTGCATAAGAAGAGTTGGATGGAAGGTTTGACACTTCAGGACTACAGTGAACACTGTAAACACAATGAATCAGTGGTAAAAGAGATGTTGGAATTAGCCAAGAATTACAATAAGGTAACAATTATTTCTAATATTTATTTCCTAATAATCTTTGGAATATATTTGATTAGATATCAAGTATTATATAAATACAATTTAAAATAGTCACCTATTTTGTAGATCAGATAGTAAATATTTTAGGGTTTGCGGGTCATCCACTCTGTCACAACTGCTCAGTTCTGCTGTTGAAGTGTAAAAGTAGCCCTAGACAATATCTAAAGGAATGAGTGAGGCTGTGTTCTAGTAAAACTTTATATACCAAAACAGGCAGCTGGCTAGATTAGGCCCGTAGGCTATAGTTTGCCAACTCCTATTGTAGACCAATTAAGATTATTTTACATTTTAAATGTCTTCATTATTCAGAAGACTTTTTCTTAGAAGGGAAGGGGAGCAAGGAGATTTTAGACAACAATAGCATTTAATACTTGCTACATAAAATTTATTTTATGAACTTTGTATTTTTATTTACTATTTATTGAAAACCTACTATGTGCTAAGCACTAGGGATTTGGTAGGAAGAAATATGGTAAGAAGCAAGACCTGTTCTCACAGACTTTATTTTCTGGTAGGGGGAACAGAAAGTAAATAAACACAAAATAATACATTGTGATTACTGCTATGAAGAAAATAAACAGGATGATGTGAAGAAGAGTAACTAGGGGAGACCACTTTTTATGAAGATGTTAAAAAAGTTATATTTTGCACAATCTTCTGGAAATGTTTATTGCGTGCTAAATATATGTGGCCATGATAATGTTTTTGTTCATAGTTTTATGTCCTTTTACAATTTTGAAATTAAGAAAATAGCTTGAGCTATGACTAAAATATATCTTCTATGTTGTGTTATTTTCCTGGAGATGCCTTAACAAACTATCATAAACTGGGAGCCTTAACAAATTTATTCCCTCACAGTCTGGAGGCTAGAAGTCCAAAATCAAACTATTTCAGGGCTATGCTCCCTCAGAAGCTTTTAGGGGAGGATCCTTTCTTTTTCAGCTTCTGTTAGTCCCAGGTATTTGGCTTGTGGCAGCATAAATTCAATCTCTGACCAGGCTAGGATTTCAGTGTACCTTTTGGCGGGATGTGATTCAACTCCTAACAAGTGTTTCCAACTTTTTGACCAAAGCCACATAAAGAATAGATTTTACATTTTGGCTCAGTACATGCAAATGTTTATGTATATGTGTGTATATATAATTGTAACAAACATTTTATGAAACAATGTTTATCCTTGTTACATGTGATATATTCTATTTTCTTTCTTATTTGACTCCATTCATTCTGTTTCAATGAGACACACAGGTATTAGACACAAATACATAAGGCTTACAACTCATCAATGGGTTGAAAATCTAGTTTGTAAAACACACACACACACACACACACACACACATACATATATACATTATACAGTGTTATGTTTACAAGTATATTGAATATCTCCTATACAGGCAGGGATCCTTCCCTCATTTATAGGAAAATGGGAGCAATAAGAAAAGCTGATAAATAATCAGAGTTCTAGGCCATAATTGGTGTGTTCCATAACACGTTGGTATTGAAATTGTCCACAGACCAGCTGCATCAGTATCACCTGAGCTCTTATTGGAAATGCAGACTCTCAGACCTACTGAATCACCATCTACATTTTAACGAGATTTCCGGGAGATTTTGTGTACTCATTCAAGTTAGAAGTTAGAGAATACTGTCATAGAAAAGTCCATGTGAAGTACTATAGAAGTTCAGAGGCTTATGCTTTCAGATGGGGGGAGACTCAGGAGACTCTTAGAGAACATTTGTACTAGATGTTAAAGCATTTAAATAAGATTTAGACATACAGAGACATGTTACCCCAGGCAAAATGAATATCACCAGCAAAGACTAGGAGAGACAGAAAAGGCAAAGACATGTTTCAGAATCTGTGTGGCTAGAGTACGTAATGCATGAAGGTGATAATGGGGAATAAAGGGTTTTTTGGGTTTTTTTTTTTTTTTTTTTAAGTTATTAAGTCAAGTAACAGGGTTTGTAATATCAGAATAGAGTTATTTTTGATCAGGGGCATGATATACTCAGAATCTGACTTTAGAAACTTAATTGACAATAGTTTAGAAGAATGAGTGCTGTAAATGTAGATTCTGTTTAGGAGGAGCTTGCTATTACTCAAACAAAAGGTACTAAGTGTCTGGATTATTGTAGAGGCAGTGAGAATGGAGGCATCAATGGACAAAGAAAACATGGCACCAGTTGGATAAATGAAGTGAAAGAAGAAGGAGGAATCAAAGATGAATTCAAGGTTTCCTGACTAGATGACTAGAAGAATGGTGGTACCATTAACATTCCCAATTTAGGTAGAAATAGAAGGATTGAGAAAGGAGATAAAGAGTTGCATTTTAAATGAACAGTTAGAAATGGGGACTAAAAATTAATGGTAGGGGCTAGAGCTTAAGATTTTGTTGACAATTAAAACTGGTGTTGATTGTCACACTAAAAAAATAACATTTCTCTTTTTAAATTAAGCACATCTTGCGAAAAGAAATACAAATCAAAAGATGGTATATAAAATTTGCCAAGTGTAGCAGCGACATCTTTTAAGAGACTTGAGCTTTGAAAAATGGTTGCTGGGTTCATACAAAGCTAAATTCCAACAAAATTAGGTTTGGCGCTGAAGGGAATGTCCTGGTTAATATGTAGCGTTCTGGCTGGAAATCCCTCTTGGTTCTATACTAAGGGAAAATATTTTTTATCTTTCTAGTATATGTTTTTATGCTGTGAAGATTAAGAGAGAAAAACTAGTTTATCATACTTAAAACAGTTAACCTTTTATAAGTTAAAAAGTTATGACAAGTTATTATTCAGCAGTCTTAGGAATGGTTTTCTTTTCTTTGTAACATTACAAGTTTAAGTAAATTCATATTGGTACCACTGCCAGGAAATAACCTATTTATGGTTACTGCTGCCCATCCACAGAAGTTTTTTTGCTATTTTACAGTTTTAAAAAATCTCTGTAGTACTCAAAAACTTGTAAGGTTTGGTTGTAAAATGAAAACAATGTGTAAGCTGTGATATGAAGGAGTCCAAATTTGGGAATGTAATTCCCTCTGTGATTGAAAGAGAATGTGGTGGAGTTTTTAGTAACACTTAAAATATAAAAAGAAAGGCCCATGCTACCAATTTTTCTTAGTATTCTTTTTAATTGGTTGAGGTTTTAAATTAAGGTAATTACTGTTAGGTGCCAATTAACTCCTAAAGTAAAAGGAGGTTAGAAAATAATTAAATTCCTTTGTTCTAACTTTAAGATTTCAGGTCTGAATTTCACACAGAAATTCTGCTTGATTATTAGTCATTGATTTCTCTAATTATTGAATTGCAACACTCACAACTCTTTTATTCCACATCTCCTAATTTATTCGTGCTAGGATGCATCAGTGTTTAAAATAATGATGATATTTGATTGGATATTTATAAATGAATGTGCAAGTGAAAAAATGAATTATAAAAGAGCATTTTAAGAACAGTATAGAAACATAAAAATTAAACATGTAGCCCTATAATTCTGAGTTCTGACAGTTTACTTTTCAGGTAGAAATATTGCCTACTTAGAACTTGAGAGAAAGTTTGGATATAAAATATGTAATTATATGATTATATTTGGTTTACTACATTAGCTATATTAAATAGGAAAATCTTTTTTTATGTTAATGCAATAAGATAAGAAAAACAAAATAAGATATAAGTATTAGGAATATCAGGTCAGATTATCGTTATTTAAATATGATAGTATATGTTTGCAATCAAACATAGAAATTCAAGACTAAACTGGAGAACTGTTAGAACTCTTATAATCGAGAATTGTGTAGCTAGCAACCATGCAGTTACATAGACTGAAACCAGTTGAAGACTATAATAGATAAATCAGTTCACAGTAGTATCCAAAATTATAAAATACTTAGGAATAACTGCCATAAGAAATGTCGATATATAAACATATATGACTTATTAGAATAATACTAAAAACATTTGTGAATAAAATCCATAGTTTCTGAATGGAAAGACCCAATATTGTAAAGCCGATGTCAAGCTTCCCAAAGATTACTTTAATTCTAGTAAGACTACTAGTGACCTTTTAAGTTTTTGATAATTCGACAGTAAAGTTTGTCTGCAGTAAAAATAATAAGTAATATTTATTAAATGTTTGTAACAAGTCACACTGGGGGAAAATATTTGTATATAAGGGCGGTATCCAAAAAATGCATAATATCTAAAGAATTCTTTAAAAATAAAGAATTAAACTCACTGAAGACAAATGACACGTAAATAAGTAAAAAAAATTTAACCTGTTATTAAGTAGTCAAAAAAAAGTTAAAATTATAAGTTGAAAATTTCTTTCCAAATTAAAAAAAAGTGGTTTGGGAAAATAAACCACTAGTGGGAAAGTAAAGTAATTACAACATTTTTTGAGGCCATCTTCCAATTTTATCTTTCAGTTTTAAATGCATATAACTCTGTAAACCAACATATTCTCTTTTGGTTGTCTTCTAAGGTTTTATTATGAAGAATAAAATTCTATAAGTACTAACTTAGAGAAATATTTACAACCTACTGTTATGTATAAAAAATTAAACTGTATGACAATATGAAAAGTTCCTACTATCTTACCTTCCTTCCCTTTTTCAAAGATATTTCTCTGTCTCACATGTTAATAGTGTCACCTCTAAGGTGCAAAGTAGAGGAATTATATACTTTATGTAAATCCTGAATTACTTTCAGTTTTTGCACTAAACAGCAGTTACTTATATCTAAGATTGTGTTACCTCAAAATAACAATGGCTTAAACAAGATAGAAATCTATGTCTCTTGCATTTCAAGGCCAGTATGAAACTTTGAAGTCACTGTAGACCCAGAATCCTATCTTTTGCTTCACTTTCCTTATATTGGCTTCTATCCTTTAGATCTCCCCACGATTTCAGGGTGATTGCTAGAACTATAGCCATTCCATTTGAGTTCCAGTCAGTTTTTTAACAGGAAAAATGGCAGGGCAAAGGGGGATATCTCCCAGATAAATAAGTTCTCTTTCAGGATTTTTTCGTAGTTCCAACCCAGCACTTCTCGTTTTATCTCATTGGCAGAAGAAGAAAGGGAAAATGTATATTTGGTAGGCAGCTAATAGGCTCTGCCATAGAAAATTTTTTCAAGAAGCTGAACTACAGTTTCTATCATACATGCGCGCGCGCGCGCGCACACACACACACACACACACACACACACATACACACACACGCTCTTTATTTTATACCCTTGTTTCACTTAATTACATTTTAAAATCAGATTCCCTAGAAGATTTTTAGAAAGAATTTATGCTGTTCAGTGTCACTTAATCATGGGTTTGGCTCTTTTATTATCCAGGATGTGTCATGAAAAAGTAACGATTTCCCAAATTGCAGTGAACATTGCTTTAAGCTCTTTGGAGACTGATAAAAACTGTGTTTGAGTCACAGTTTCATTGCTTTTTGTGTATACAGTTATATGTGTCCCCATCATTCTTTGTGCACACTCCTTTTTTGTATATGTCATATTGCATTATAATTTGAGATGTATAGGCAAGTAAAGCCCAAATATGAGCTCCTTCAAGAACAAGAACTGTTGCTCAGAGTACTTAATAGTGATTATCGAATATATAAAATGATGAAAATTCTACTATTGAGGACATGCATAGAATATAGTGGAGTGTTATAAGCTATTCCAAAAAGAGTTGGAAAAGTTTATAGAAGCATTGCTGGAATTAACATGTGATTTCCCCAAAGAAATAATGCCTAATATTTTCATATGTAAAATGTAGTTTAATTACTTCACTGGGATGTTTTAAGGAATCAGTAAATTAATATTTGTAAACATGTGTATGTTAATGTATAATTCCTGGTGGTTATAGGAAAGCCAGTTTTATTGTTCTCTGTACTCACACCTCTTATACTTTCTCAGATAGTTTTTTAACTGTTTTATGTTTGTTAATTTTGCTTTCCCAAGTGTGTTTTATAAAAGCTATTTCTTTAAACTTAGTCTCAACCTTCAAACCCATAATGTGATTTTCAGTTGTCAGTGCACTGACTCGATATAAAAATCAAGAAGTAAAATACATTATCTTGAAATCCACTAGCAATTATGCAGAGTGTTTAATGGTGAAAAATACCATATAAATGATTTTTGAAAGCATGTGCTTTAAATGGGAATATGACATGATATAGAGTGAACAAACTTAAAATGTCATAGAGAAAAAAGAAGCCCAAGGAATAGTCAGAGAAATGTGAAGGGGAACAAGAGATGTCATGTCAGAAAAGCAGAGTTTAAAGAAGGGATTAGAAGAGAAAACAGATATTTGATTAGCTCTAAGGTGTTCAGAAAGTTCAAGAAGACTGAGTCCATTGGCACTCACCTGGCAGGGATCCTTAAGAGACTATTAATGAAGTGCCAAGGATATAAACCATGTTTGTTAAAGGGTAAATGTATGGTAGAATTTGAGATAACAAGTTTTCCATTTGAGAAATGTTACTATTACCATAAAAAAAGAGAATGATATTAATGGGTTTAGTAAAAACCTTTTTGAGATTGGGGTACGTCTGAGGGGATTATAACATAACAGACCAAATTTCAGGAATTTCTTAGAACTGTGCAGACCGTGCATGATGGGATAGCCATCTGGGGGTCTTTGTTGATAAACTGTTAAAAACGTTTCTAGTGTGAATAGCCACAAACATTTTCAGTGCTTTTTTGTTGGTTGAGTAAACCGAAGAGCACGAATGCAAAAGCAAAATTTGATGCCAAATCACAGAAGTTGCCATAAACACAGAAGTTCCCCTAGTGAGGACACTGCCTGTGCCTGAATTTCATTTGTTTCTGCTGCTACCATTTCTTAATTTTCCTTGGTGACTAGCCAGATTAGAACTATGAATGAAGACAAACTGGTTTTGCCCAGATGGTAAATGAGATATAGGTAACTTAGGTAGATGGAGAAATTATTTAGGGTTTTGATGTGGTGATTTCGCCTGATCTGGTCTAAGAATGTAAGAGATGTGCTTACTCTTTTGTCATGGGGGTTTGCAACCTTAGTATATGCCTAAATCTACAGCTGCTCCTCATTTTCCAGATGGCATCTATGGCTGGGAGTACTTTTTGCCATCTGCACTTCTCAAAGAGTTTGTGAACTCTCTTTTTTAATTATTGGAAGTGGAAAAACTAATTGGTAAAGTGGTTAAATGATGTAAAAGATTTTTAAAATTGAGTTAGAGCTTCTTACATTCTGTTTAACCTTTCCAATAAGGTCAGTGATTTAAATGCTTTTGACTTTCATCTTTGCATGTCTGCCCTCTTTGATATTTGCAATACTCCAAAATACTCCATGTTGACTATTTTGTACATGGTTTGGTATTTTGAGCCAAATTCCAAAACTCTTACCTCCTTCCAATACTGTAAAGTACTGTTGTCGGCATGTACTTAGAACAGCTAACCCTGAATGGATATAGATTACAAACTTATGTGAATTGTTCCATTCATCTAATATGTTTTCAAGTCAGTTGGTAAGGTGTAGTATCATAATTTGTAAAAGTAATTTAGAAAGACAAACTTTTTATGTGTTGCAGTGTATCCATATGTGTAAAACATTGAGATAGTGAGAGAAGCAATTTCCCAGTTAGGAAATACTTGTTTAACTAGCTGAGAATAATAGAGTGACATCTGACTCTGAAAATGAACATATTCTCTGTCTAGGGAATTCTAGATTTGGAGTGTTATTAACCTTATTTTTCCTTCTTTGAGTTTTATGAGTCATAAATATATTTCCTAATGATGTGTAAATATGTATACTCTAATAATCAGTATATACAGTACTTATTCACTGTCTTTTCTCTTTAGGCAGGTTCTACTGGAGAAATTCTCTAGATAGTTTGTCCATTTATAAAATTAGACACTTGCCATCTTTGCTCATTTTCAAGTTCTCTGTTTACAAAACTATTAAGAAGGTGTGAAATGCAGCCAAACTTCCCAGTTTATGGGAAATGTCTGATGATTGCATTTCTTACATGTTCATTGTTCACACATGAAGAAATTTGGCAGCTGCAAGATTATTAAATTTAGAGTATCCAAATCTAACCCTCGCTGGGATTTTGGTTTCCTGCTTTCTGCCACCACCATTTTATCCCCTTTTGTAACCATATTTGCAGTGCCATGGTGTTATTTCATAAAGTTGGTGATCCTTAAATTTTCTTTTTTTTCCATATATCAGATGCTATGAATAAATCATAGACCGGGAGTTCACCTGATTCAGAGTCCTAATTTCAAGCAGTAACATAGCCACACTGTTAAGAAAGAGATTCCTTAAACTCAGACCTCTCAATAAAGAAGTTTTGTAGTGGTACTGTTTTTGGGAGAGGAGAGCAGTGGTGGCAGCTGATCTAAATGCTGTAATTATTTCCAAATTACTTCAGAATTACTCTACTAGAAAATTTATCACACACATAAGAGTTTATAGCAAACTGGAAATAGTTGGAAGTAGCTTGTGTATTTTGTCGATTTGATTGATTTAATTTTTATTCGATTTGGCTTTTAATTGAAGTATTTTTTGATGTTGAAAACTTCAAATTAATCTTTATTCGTGATTACTAAATACCACTCGTGGAGAAGTGAGTTTTTTTTCCTGAATACAATGAGAAGTTGGGGAAGAACTCTAGTGAAAGTAGGAAAAGGATAAGAAGATAGACTAGAACTGGTTAATACCATGGTGTCAGTAGCAGCTACCTCAGGTACTTCTATTTTCCAGTTTAGCCATCCCTCAATCCAGAAGAGTGTCCAAATGGTTAGCTGGTGGTCCAGTTTGATATTTTCAGTGCCTTTTACATATCTCTTAAAGTATTTTCAAAATGATGATGGTAATAGTATTCATTACCCTGAAGGATATTCTGAAGATGAGCAGAATTGCTTTTTCGTTCCATAATTACTTGAATAAAAGGTTCAGTGGAGGAAAATTATCATCACTGTTATCTTTGGTGATTATTTTGCAGTGGGAAAAGTAAATTTAGAATTTGAAACTCTGTTCTTTGTGTTTCATTCACAGGCTGTAGAAGAAGAAGATAAGATGACACCTGAACAGCTGGCAATAAAGAATGTTGGCAAGCAGGTGAGGTGTACTATAATAGGTTGGTTATGCAGTCGCATAATAACATGCTCTTGTACAGTTAAAATTATTTTAAGGCCTGTATGATTTTCCCCCCTGTCCGTTCACTCTACATTTTTCTTCTGTCATGTAAATGTAATGCTAATTTTAAAGGTCACTGAATTATTTGATGTCATATTCTCTCTGCCATCTATAAAGAAGTGAATCACAGATACACCTGTGAGATACTATCTTTAGTGAAAATTACTTACTGGAAATAAATTAGGAAACTTGCATCTTGACTTAATTTTTCAAGTGTTACTTGAAATAATATTACCAGTGAAGATAATAGAATGGTAAATGTATTTCATATGTAACAGTTTTTAAATGATCTGGTGTTTATCAATATGTAGGTAATATTCTTAGGAAAGCTTAGAGTCCTCTTGGATTATACTGAGTTAAGAGAAAGGGTTTTAAATATTTGCTCTTTCACTTTTCCAAGATGAAATATATATTTTAGTTCCTATTTTCTTAAGGTTGAGGGGAACACACCAACCAATTAAAAGAATCTACAGATTAATTAGGCTGTTTTTTAAAGAATGTTGATTACATTTTTTTCATTTCATGGAACATGGTTATCATATTGCTGATGTTGGCAGAATCTTGATATTTCAGATGCAAGACACTAAGCTGTCTTTGCTTTCAGCCATCCTACCATATGCTCTGATCCCATCACATCTCACAAGCTATGTAGGTTTGGGCCAGGACCATTCTTGGATGGGAAATCTCTAAGAATCACCCAGCTGCCACAAGAAGTAATGTAGATAACCGAGGGAAGTGTGTTACCAATTCACTACAAAACCAGTTACTCCAATAGAGCAGTAGGGGCAAAGGTCTGACTTAAAAATATCACAATGGGTGAAATGAAATCTTACTACATTCTGAATATTATAATTTAAAAACAACAAGAACCCTCCAAACCAAAATGAAATATAGTTCATCTTATTTTCTCATCCTATGTGATATAGTCACCCTGTTGTTTTTTCCTACTACTTATTTTCATCTAATATATAATATTATATTACCAACTCGGAGCTTTGAACCTTATAAAATTCAGTAAATATTTTTTGAATTAATGACTCTCTGAAGTTGTGGTTTCTTGACGTAGGTTTTATATGACAATTAATAAATAAAGTGACTAAGTTAAAATAAAAGTGAAAAATATATAATTGGCAAAGTTTAATAATCATCAGAATCATTTTTAAAATATAATACTTCACTGGTTTAGCCTACTGCATGGCAAAAGCAAAACTGTCTGTAATGGAATTAGACCAATAATCATTTTCTCCTGCCAGTCTTTCTCAGTCTCTTTCACCTAAAATACCCCAAGTCTTATTTTTGAAATAAAGAAAATTTAATATTGTGGTCTGGTTACTTGAAATTATTAGTAGCATGTTGTATCTCTGGGTTGTTTAAGAAGAAATCAAGTGTATTGAAATCGTACTTTAGAAGAGAACAGCCAAGAAATAATTCCAATGATGAACATTTGTTTAAAGTTAGGAGTGTTGGGTATTTTAGCAATACTTATAAGGAAATAATGCTTTAATTGCAAGTTTTTTATTGTGTAGTATATAGTCTTTATTTCAAAGCTTTCATATTTAGCTGAAATATTTCCTTCAGCTCAGCATTAAACATAAATATAAATTAAGCATTTTAATTTAATTATTACAATGCAATTTTAAGCCTATTTTTAACTCAGACATTTCAAATATAGATTTGATCAGGTGTAAGTTAAAAGATTGTACTTATACACTTCTATGATACATTTTTTTCAAAATAGCTGCACGAAAGATTTATTCTTAACATTTTAGAATTGATCCAAATTGTATTTAAAATTTTAAACTACTAACAGTGACTTTTGATCCAAGAATATTTCCTGAATCATTTAAAGCTCTATTCCTGAAATATTAAAATTATACAGGAATTAAATTAAAATTGTTCAGGAAGTGTTGAGAATTCATGTTGATTTCATCTTACCTATTGGTATGTCTGCTTTGAGTAAAGAACCCCCCTCAGACATTCAGTATATGTGAATGGCAGAAAATACACACACATACTCAGGCTTATAGACACACATAAATGCTTATACTTTTTAATCAATGATTGCAGGCCGTATAGAATTTCTTGTTACTATTTATAACAATTTATAATTTCTGGTACAGAGTCATAGCATTGATTGTGTAAATCAGTCTTTCATTGTGTAATCTATTTTATCAGTAAATTAACAGATTTAGAAATTCTAAAAAAAATATAACCATATATTAGAAAAGTTACATCGTAAAATATAAATCGAGGCTTGGCTTTCTTGACTAATTTCATCAGCTACTGAAAAAAATCTAAGTAATTTGTTTACCAGTAATATGGTTCTTTTTCTTTTTCTTTTTCTTATTTTTTTCTTTTAGGACCCCAAACGTCATTTGGAGGAACATGTGGATGTACTTATGACTTCAAATATTGTCCAGTGTTTAGCAGCTATGTTGGATACTGTTGTATTTAAATAAAGCAATGCAAAAAGATATTACTGATACTTTCAGTGTATATTCCTCTATTGTTCCTAATGCTCAAAATCAAGGGACCTCTGAAGGTGTATTTGGTTAAATGTAAGACATCTGGTATCATTTGCAGCACTGTAACACCTTCAGTCGCAGTTGTGCAATTACTTCTGTTTCTTTAGTCAGGGTCTTTGCAGATTCCAAAGTTGTATAAGAATACATCAAAGTGGACAAATTTTGTTAAGATCCCATTTAATATTTGAAGAAATCAGCCACACAAATATATTTTGATTGTTGCTTACAAAATAAAATACATTTACAATCTATGTCTCCTGAGATCTTTTTGGCATTGGGTGGAATTGACAGAAAAACATTCGACAGTGCTGTAGAAATCTCACACAAAGATATATTTCCCTTTTGCATTTTAAGATTTTATAACACATAAAACAATGTAATAACACAACTTCACAAATGTAAAATGATAGCCATTAATGAGTGGCTACCTCATTAGTAACCCAGAAAAAAATGACATATTTTATTAAAAGTATTTGCCGCAAGTTTATATTGTATATGCAACATGTTAACACACATTCAGGATTTCAGAAGAGTGCGTTTAAGAAGAAAGGGGCAATATTAATTTAGATTTTATCATTTTTTAAAAGAGTACATTCCACCAATAGTGTTGAGATTGTCTGGGAGTTGCCTGCTGCAAATTCCACTAGACTTTCAGCTAAGACAGCCATAGAAGGTACTTAATATCTTTGAAGCAAAATAAGAAAGTAGCCATAATGTGAGTTTTACATAACGAGCACATAAGCAGTAATTTTGTTGTTTTCTCTCATCTTTCCCAAATTAACTTAGAACTACCAATTTTCTGAAAAGGACAAAAATTTAACTAATGGCAGAACTACCAGTTTTCTGAAAAGGACAAAAATTTGACTAATGGCAGTTTTCATAGATGACCTCTTCCTGCAACCTGCTTCTACATAAGTTTAGGCTCCATTAATACTCAACATGTGGTAGAGCACCATACTAGGTACACCAAGGAATATGACAAAACATGGAGACAAAGACTTAATTCTTATCTGTACCCTTTGTGAAAAATGGCAAGAATATTTCTAAGGCTTCATTCATTAAAGGAGGCTTTTACTTGGGGACTTAGAATTTAGACTGAACCTGTACTGGAGGTGGTATGATGATGTGGTAGACCAAATTCCTGCCTTTTTAAAACAATTCTAGGCTGCTATTGGTTACCTAATGAGAAGTTACCAGAAACTAAAGATTTGGGAAATGGCTTAAATTTCCCCTATGTTTCACAGTCTTTTTGGTGGAATAGAGATAGTCTAAGCATTTCTTGCTTTTCTGTGTTTTCTTCTTTTAAATACAGTGATAGTATGTAGGATATGTAATACGTATTAATTTAATTATTGAGTTTACAACTACAATTAAAATGTAAGCAGAAGTTAGTTTTCCTTTTGCCTAATTTGAACTTGTGTGTGGGCTTTTTTTTTTTTGACACATGATTTTTCTCTTTACATAAATGAAGTTCTATGACTTATTTCACGTTCTTGTTCATTAGAGCTAGTCAAGGTTTTTTTGTACAGTATGCCCTCCTCTGAAGGCCTCAATAATCTTAGGGCAGTTGCTCAACATTCTGTTTGAAAACACTTTTTTTTTTTCACTTTAGTCCCCTGAAAATATCTCCCGAGTGAGTGCGGTGACTGAGAAGGCTTACACAATTTCTACCTTTTGCTCTTATTTGATCACCTCATTTTCTTGTACTTCTCACAGCCACACATACCACTTTCTCCCACTTGGTTCGTGTTGGAGCTATTCCCAATTTCACAACCGTATCAAAATCCCTCCTTGAAGAAACCTACATTTTCTTTGTAGATTTGGAGTTGATAAAAATTAGGATGCCCTAAGAAGAGGGTTAACAAACACATTTGTCTCAGAATGTACCGCTATTTTAGCAGCAGCCTGTTGGCCCAGGCCCAGTTAGGCATTGAAATGACATATTTAATCACAAACTCAATAAGCCACTTAAGGTGTGTAGGGGTTTATGTTAGCGTCCTTACCCATCTACTATGTAACATTAAGGCAGCACTAGAGCTAAAATGCTTGCCCGGAGCACGGGGATATCCTTGCTTTCCTCTTAGACTAGGATGGGGGCATTGAAAGCTCCAGCCTCAGTGTTCTGTGTGATCTGTCTGGATCAGGAGCACATGGGTCTTCTGGGAGCTCATTATATACACAGAATCCAGGCCCCACTCCAGACCTGAATTAGAATCAGTAATCCTGGCATGGTTCATATGCATTTTAAAGCTTGAGAAACCCTGCTCTACAGTAGTTCGTCTCAAGAGTAGGTGTGCTGGTCCTGAGGCAGGTCTTAGCTTCCAAGCATATATAAGTTCAAAGTATAGCCTATACGTGAGGAATCACAATTTAGTAGTGATAAAATGGGTATATATTTATCTCCTAATTCAATTCCTTAAGAACTCTTGAGGGAGGTGCACTCTATGCCTTTTCTATATTTTAATATTTCATTTTAGCATCATTTTTTGAAAAGCCAGGGTGCTAGGAATGACAAAGCCTCAAAAAGCCCGGTGGAGTCTCACGTTTTTGCTACACACTTAAGTCTCTGTGTCCCATTGAGGAAGGAGGGAGTAACCTTGGAAGCAGTGGAGTGGGAGGCACTAAAGGACAAAGAAGTTGATTGAAGAAAGAAGAAAACAAGAATAGCCAAAATACAGCAAAAGCTTCTCATGAGAAATGGTAGTGGAAGGTAAATGGAAGAAAACCCGTGTTACATAGTGTCATAGCTGCTGTCCCCTCCCCCGCACCCCGACGCCTTAACAGCAAAGCCCCTGCTTGTTTATGAACCTTCCAGGCCAGGACCTGAGATTTGCTTCCGAAAGGAAAAATGGGCCTGACTGTATTTTTCTCCCAGAACAGTGTCTCGGCTTGAGTCTGGGACATCTGGTCATCAACCTGTCCAGCCCAGGGCCGCCAGCGCCAGGCCTTGCTCGCGGCGCCCTGCTGGAGGCCACAGCTGGTGTCCTCTGCAGCCAAGGAGCCCAGCCCGCCTGGGGCGCAGTCTGAGCTCAGCGTTGACCGCTGGGCCCATCGTAGCCCCTCTAAAAATGCGCCCTCCTAGGCGTAGGTCGAGTCTAGTTAACCCCTCTCTGCCCATGCCCAGAACCCACTCAATGTCCCAATCGCTGATCTCCCTCAGGGAGCTGCGGGGCCCGGGGACAGCAGACACACTCTCTCGAAGGCACAGGCCTCACCGGCGGAGGTGCCCCGTCGGGCCTCTGGCAAAGGAAGAGTATGTGTCCCTGGGGTCTGCGCCAGACGAGACTCGCCCGCGCTCCCTCAGTCTCCCAGGCGCGGGCTCCCTCTCAGGTTCGCCGGGGTGCTGGGGCGCCTACTCCTGGGCCTCTCGGGGACCTCAGAATGAGCCAGAGCCGGGCGGCTGGTCTGAGTCGGAGCGCCAGGCTCGGGGGTGGGGGCGTGGGGGGTGGCCTCGCCCGCTACCAGCCCCAGCAGTGCGGAGCGCGGAGCCTCCACGAGCAAGCTCCAGCGCGCCGCGCCGCCTCCCTGCAGCGCGGCTCCGCGTGGGGGGAAAGCAGCAGGACCGCAGGTCCGCGGGTGCCGCGCCACGGGAAGACGCTTTGGGCGCATAAAGCCTCTGCTGCTCTTGGCCCTTTCGTCCTGGCTCTCCTCTGTAGAGCCAGGTGTAGGGAGATTTCTTCCTACACCTGGGGTCGCTTTGGGCCTCGGGCTCTTTATTTGTGCCAACATCCTTCGATATTGCTTCTTTTCTCTATCCTTCCTTTTTACTGGCATGGATTCTTTTTCTATTCTCCATATTATATAAACATTTTACACACACACACACACACACACACACGCGCGCGCGCGCGCGCGCGTCTTCAGTAACGATCGCTGCGTTGATACCACTTCCACTCTGTCTCCCCAGATCAGTGCTTCCAGCGAACCCATTTGCAGGAGGACTCGGTCCTCTTTTCCTGGCGAGGCTTTTGAACCTGTCACCAAGCCAGTACCTCAGAGAGAAGGAAGTGCAGTGGGATGCGAGGGATGCAGGGCGCCTGCACCCCAGTTAGATGCTCTTCAGATAACATGCAACCAAGCTCGCTGATAAAATATTTAGTTAAGACCTCGTAAACATCACTGCAAATACATTAAGGCACTTCAGTTCGACAGCTTATGATTATTTCAAAACTTAAAAAGGAGATCATAGATTGTCACTGTTTCTGTGCTCACCCAAGAAACCGAACCTTCCCAAGGTGGGTGGATGGGTGGGTGAGTTGCTGCTTTTCGCCCCCACTTCTCTCTCCTCCCGCCCACTTTCATCACTGTGGCTCTCAGCAGCAGTGATTTATTTATTTATGTATTAAAAATGTGTGTTGTTGTTGGTGGTGGTGGTGGGGTGTTCGCCGAGGACACGCAGGACCTGCTCACAAAGGACTGGCTCAGGTGTTGTGTGCTTCTGTATTAACTGGAAAAGACAGACTCTGGAACTTTTACAGGGCGAGAAGAGGCCACCGGCTCGCGCTTTGTATACTTTGCACTTGGAATCGTTACATTCAACTGAATATTTGGCTCATTCAGATCCGAAAAGTCTCCTAGCATCGACGAATTCCCTCCTCCGCCCCTCAGCTCAGAAGGAGGGAGGTGGGGGGAAGGTAACAAAATGTTTAGTAAATTGCACATCTTTGAATCTTCCTAAAGCAGTGGTCACAAAGCTTAAAGGTGACACAACAGTGCTCACGTAAAACCAACACATATTCCTCCCCGCCCCCCAAGCCAACAATAAAATCATCCCCTTCAATTTGCCATGATCGTCGCGACCAGAAGCCAGGTGATTATCCTAATTAATGTCTATCTAATTAAATTACTGTCAGCAGTTAACCAATGGCAGGAGCCGTTTCATCGGCTGCACAAGCAGCAAGATCAAAAGTGAGCCTTTTCTGATTGCTGCATAGTGTCAATTGGCCAATCTCTTCTCCCAGGGAAAAAAAAAAAAGTAAATCAAACCTTTGAGAAGCATTTGCTGGTTGAAGTGCTTTCTGTCTAGTGAGGGGGTCTGTGGATTTCTAGTTTATGATAAATAGGACTTTTAAAACCAGGGACAGGAGGGCGAGTATTCAGGTTCTAGAGCTATGCAGCTGGAGCACTGCCTTTCTCCTTCTATCATGCTCTCCAAGAAATTTCTCAATGTGAGCAGCAGTTACCCACATTCAGGCGGATCTGAGCTTGTCTTGCACGATCATCCCATTATCTCGACCACTGACAACCTGGA